CTCCAAGCATGAATTTATCCAGCAAGTAATTATCAAGATTTCTCTACAACTTCCAAAACAGAACAATTAATTATTTATTACAAAAATCTTGAAATGCAAAAAAAAAAAATATGAAATATTACTGAAGGAAATCTTAAAATATTACTCTCTGACTTTCTTTAAATAAGTCAGACTGCAACCAAAAATTCTTGAACCTTATTAAGAATTATGAATCTGAATCTTTAAATGTGTCCAAAATTGATGTACCAACCAGACAGATCAGAGTTATTACATTTTCAGTATCGAATTTGCTAAATCAGCTAAACAGACAGATAAAATACAGTCACCTCGATAAAATCAATGATAGTTGATTGTCATTCGTGCAATTTATTTATTTATTTATTTTTCTCATAAAATGGATTATTTATCTTGTATCACCAGCTTAAAAATTTCAAATAAAATATTTACATAAATTGTTGTATCAATACTTTTCATACCTTTTATTAATATTTAATTTATTTAACTTATTGAAACTTTTTTATATTTGTAATAATATACTACTTCATATGTATTCAAAAATTAATATTTTTTACTTGAACATTTAAAAAAATATTTATATAAAATTTCTTTACTCACAAAACAAATTTTACTTTAATTTTCTTTTGAAGCAAAATTTCTTAATATTTGTTATGAGATAAAATATATTAATATATCTCTCAAGGTAATATTTATATCTTTCCTTTACTTACAAAACAATTTCTCTTGATATTTCTTTCAAGCAAAACTTGGATCTTCACTATTCCATTCTTTCCTTTCCTTTACCTAAAATTCCCAAATTTTTCATCGAGAAACGAAAGAAACAAGTTCTGTTTGGTACATCAACAATGTGAACATGAAATATTCTGAAAAGTTTCCATGAAATATTCCTCGTGTGTTTATCCGTCATCGGTACCATAAAGACGTACATAACCTCAATCTCGATATTCAATAATCAATACAGAAAGAAAAGATGCAACGAACAGAAACTTCATCGAAACCTGAGACACCGTTCGCATATCACTTCCAAACATCACAGGCTGAAATCATCAACAATTCCGAAACAATGTGGACGCCGTAAGCGCCAGCGTCCGTCGTACAGGGTGAACAAAAGCGTACAACTCAAAGTCCGATCATTAACGAATCTCTCAGAAAGAGAAAAGTTAGGTTAGGACGCTCGCAACGAGGCCTATCTAGAATTTACAACGTTTTCAATAACGCAGTGTCCACTTTTCTACGCTGTAACCTGCTGCGTGACCAGAGTGGACATAGGTTATAAACGCGGAGCTGGCGAATCAACTTTTAACGTCACTCAGCGAGGAAATTCCCTAAGAAAAAGTTTACGTAATTTTATCAATCAGGAAAATGCGAATTTGGTTGATGGTGTATGTGCAGTGAGCTTGCTTTGTATGTGTTGTTTTTGTTTGCAATTTGGAGAAATCTAGGGAGATTTGGGAACAGTCTAGGGAGATTTTTTGGGAGGATGTAGAAGGATGAGTGAATTTAGGGAGAAGCGTGGAGAACCATGGGAAGGTTAGGGAGAATTTAAGGAAAGACAGAGAGAGAATTGGCTTTGGGAGTTTGGAGCTAGGGAATTTGGGGAATTTTTAGGACTTGATTGATAGGAGTTTGAATTTTTCAAATTTGGGATTTTGGAATTGTAGAATTTTGGGACTTCAGGATTATGAAGTATTGAATTTTGGGAGTTGGACTGAGGGAGTTAGGGATTTTTAGTATGGGACTTTGGGACTTAAGAATTTAGGGACTTAGGGATTTAGAAACTGACGGACTTAGGGACTTATGGACTTAGAAATTTAGAAATAGGGGAATTTTGGGACTTTGCAACTTAGGGTCTTTGCAACTTAGGGTCTTAGGGAATATAAGAATTTTGGGACTATGAGATTTAGGGACTTTGGAATTTAGAAATAGACGAATTTTGGGACTTTGAGACTTGAGAAGTTTGGAACTTAAGGAGTTTGGGACTTAAAGAGTTTGGGACTTTGAGACTTGAGAAGTTTGGGGCTTAGGGAGTTTGGACTTTAGTATTTAGGAATTTTGGGATCTTGAAATGATACAATATTGAAAATGTGGGACTCAGGAGCTCTAAATTATTGGTATTTTTAAATTATGGAGTAATGAAACTTTCAAAAATTGGGACTTAGGGGCCTTGAAATGTTGGGACTTTGAAATCACAGAATATTGCAACTCTGAAATCTTGGGCCTTAGGAACTTTAGAATTCCACAGCTATAGACCTTTGGGACTTACAGACAATTTTGTGATTTTTAAATCATAAACTATTGCTATTTTAAGATTTTGAGACTCTTGTGCTCTAAAACTTCAGGACCCATCAAATTTGGGACTTGTTTATCTCGAATCTCTAAAATTGTCAAATCTTATGACTTCGCCCCAAAACCCATCAGTCTCTAAACTCCACCTCTCTAACATCCTTGCATATTCTGGGCCTTATTGCAACCTATGAATGTGAACATTCTCTAAGACCTTGGGACTTGCTTATCCTGAATCTCTAAAATTGTCAAATCTTATGACTTCGCCTCAAAACCCATCAGTCTCTAAACTCCACCTCTCTAATATCCTTGCATATTTTGGGCCATATTGTAACCTATGAGTGTAACAATTCTGAGACCTACTGCGCATGCTCACCACCCCACATTCGCGTTTTCACCTCCGCCCAAATTCCGCTAAGTAGGAGATTTCAGTGCTAAAATGGCGTTAAAATTTGTGTAGCCAGCTGTTATCCTACCACGACAGACACCTGGCCTGTCGATACAAAGAGAAGAGGGAACGTGCCGGCGTATAACGGAGGATCGATATACCCGAAGTGGCTCGAGCAACCGTTTTAACGACCAATTAGAGCAACGGAAAGTTATTGTGTACTTGCGTGTTATATGGCTTCGTTCTCCCCTGGTGAAGGCACCACGAGGAGTTTTAGTGTGCGGTGAAGTCGGCCGTGTTTCACCGCGCCCCCACGACACATCATGTCGATCGATTTTAATGCATCGACACACTGTTCCCCATAAACCGAGCTGAGGTTATTACTCCATAGCGCGCTCGAACCTTACATTTCCATAGAGCACTGTCGTAATGTCATGCGGATAATTGTCACCGGGTTCGATGAGTCGTGCGATGCTGTGAGCTTGCAGATTCTATGAATACGTATCGTGGACAACCCAGGAGTTGGAGGTCGACCCAAAAAGTCGGTCAACATATTGGCAAATAATAATAATGAAACTATGTGTGATTCTAGGTGTCATTTTAATATTATGGAGCCTCCTTTGCGTCTCACACACCAAATCTTGGGTTGGGTACACCTTCAAGGTTTTACGAATGTATATGTGCATTTCTGAAGCTTGTATGAACACACATATGTAACTTGAAGGTTTTATAAACATATGTAACTTAAAGATTTTATGGACATATACAACTTCAAGGTTTTATATGCTTGACCGAAGAATCCTGCTATTTTAACCTCCTGCATTCTGAATGTGGTTCTTATTCTTATCCAGATGCATTTGGACTCCTGTCGCCCGGAATACCTCAAGAACTGAACGATTCTTCCGAAAAAAAAGAGCTAAACATAGACCAGTAATACGTTCTATGAAATACAAGATTGGATAACAGAAATTGATTAAAACATGAAAGCTCTGCAGCTCACAGTATTAAAAGAGACGCACAGTCGCAATTTCGTTCGAAAATACGCATTCTCGGTTGAATATAAAATGTAAAAATATTTGGACGAATTGAAATTTCCGGAGAAGTCGCATTTCCTGCGCACGATTTCAAAAATATTTAAACTTTCTCTTTGCTCGGTAGTTGGTTCCGTACGATATGTTCGTTTTCCGCGAATTTGAAATTAATTTTTTTAAATGGTGGTTAACGCATGTTTTGTACGTTCCTGAAACTAGTGTGGCGCCATCTTAGGTTAATATTGAAATTAGCGGCGTTTTTTGAGGGCGACACGAAATTCGCACTGGGTACTTTTCGCACTGGATATTTATATCATAAACATATTTGGAATATCGTAAATTTGGAAGTTCACAGTTAAATTTGTGTTCAGATCAGAGAAACTTTCTTTTGGGAACCCTGGGTTCTATGAAGTATTGATACGGCCCTGTCCAGTAACTGAAATCGTGGAAAAACGTTTCAATAATTTTTTGTACAATAAATTTCATTATCAAGTTATTTAGGGGTCCTTCTTTTTGGAGAAGCCCTGGGTTCCACGAATTCTTAATACGGTTCTGTTGTTACAAGTAATTAAAATTGCAGAAAAATGTTTTCGAAAGCATTTTCCATTAATATCTCATCGAACCCTGGGTCCCACAAAATCTTAATACGCTCCTGTCTGTATCAAGAAAAAAATGCTTTCAATACAAATTTTGCTATGAACAAGTTACTCAGAGAGCCATTGTCTTACGAAATGTTAATACAGCCCTGTTCACAAGCAACTAACATCATAAAAGAATATTTTCAAAAGCATTTTTCGTTCAGTATGTTTTACTAATATGTCATGAAACCTTGAGCTCCATGAAATCTTGATACGGTATATGTAGAGAAAATGCTTTCAATAAAAATTTCTCTTCTAACAAGTTGTTCAGGTATCATCATAACCTCGGGTCCCACGAAATGTTAATACAGCCCTGTTCACAAGTAATTAACATCGTAAAAGAATACTTTCGAAAGCATTTTTCATTCCCTATACTTCATTAACACTTTGAGGTACCCGGGTTCCACAAAATCTTGATACAGCCCTGTTCACAAGTAACTGAAATCGTAAAATATTTGTGAAAGCATTTTCTGTTCAGTTTTGTTAACTTCCTACCAAGGTACCCAGGGCCCAACAGAATACTAATACGGCCCTGTCGAGAAAAAATGCTCTTAGCAAGGATTTTTCACTCAACAAGTTTCATTATCCTTCTACTGATGTACCCAGGGTCCCACAGAATACTAATACGGCTCTGTGGAGAAAAAATTCCTTAAGCAACGATTTTTTTTTCTAGAAATCTCATTAACTTCCCATTGAGGTACCCAGGGCTCCACAGTATACTAATACAGCCTTGTCGAGAAAAAATGCCTACAGCAAGGATTTTTCTTTCACCAAAATTTCATTAACCTCTCATTGAGATACTTAGGGCCCCACAAAATACCAATACGGCCCTGTAGAGTAAAAATTCCTTCAACAAAGATTTTTCTTTCAATAAATTTCATTAACCTCCATTGATGTACCCAGGGCTGCACAAAATGCCAATACGGCCCTGTCAAGAAAAAATTCCTTCAGCAAGGATTTTCCTTTCAAGAAACATAATTAATGCATCATTCACGTCAATTATCCTAAATTTTGTGGTAGTACATAAATGATCAGCGTCGGTAAGGAAGCGACAGTTTCAGGAACGTAGCAACCACCGTGCGTTCTCACGGAACATAGGGTATGTAATGATAAAGTTACGAGGTGTCAGTCAAAGGTTGAAAGTTCTTTGGAAACGTTGGTAAAGTTTCACGAAGTTCGTGAAAGCGCGCGATCTTAAAAATTAAAACGCGTCTCCTGGCTCGTCTTCGGTCCGCCATTTTAAATCGGCTTGCTGGCGCGGAATGGTGTCGATGCTTTCGTCGAAACTCTGCTCTTTCTCTCGAGATCGACGATCTTCTTTGCTCGATCAACGTGAACGATCAGCATCTATGAAGATTAGATGCTAGACTGCCGTGGGGGCTCGGAATTGTCAATGCCACTTCGCCTTTTGTGCGAATATGTCCGCTCGCAGGTTTTGGGCGAAGCAGATTCCCAGAATCTGGAAAAAAACGATTACTTTGTTTAGGGATTTATTTTTGTGAGATTGAAAATTGTGATCGGATAATATTCTGTTGATAAGATCGAGGGGTTGTTAGTTGTTGGGGTAATGAGAAAGAAATTGGGGTCAAATTTGTCCATACGATAGTTTTAGGGGTTATAGAACGTATTCGTGGTATAACACCGTGTCCTCCATTTTGAAATATGTGTTATGCAAAATGGGTCCTTGGGAATTATTGTTTTTGAAAATGAGACTGAAGTTGTGGAATTTTGTAATCTTTTTAGTTTTACAAGTTTGAAATTTTGGGGACTTTGCAATTTTGGTATTTTTTAGTGTTGGGATTTTGGGACTTAGGGACCTATGGATTTTTGGGACTTATGCAGTTTGGAACTCATGGAGTTTAGAACTTGTGGAGTTCGAAAGTTAGAGAGCATGGGATTTATGGAGTTTGAGACTTTGGAGACTTTGTAATTTTGGTATTTATTAGTGTTAGGATTTTGAGACTTAGGGACCTATGGATTTTTGGGACTTATGGATTTTAGAACTTGTGGAGTTCAAAAGTTAGGGAGCATGGGATTTATGGAGTTTGAGACTTTGGGACTTTGGAAGTTGGGGATTTTGAACCACAACAATTTTGGGACTTAAGAATTTGATGGTATAAGAATTTGGAACTTTGGTATTTTGGAATTTTTGAAGATTGGGACTTTGGACCATAGAAATTTTGAACTAAAGAATTTGATGATATAGGTATTTTGAAATTTTGTAATATTGGGACCTATGGGTCTTGAAACTTTGGGACTTCTGAATTTTACAAATTTGGGAATTTGTATCTTGAGGGCTTGTGAATTTTGAACTTTAGGAACTTCGGTGCTTTGCAGAATTGGATCATTGGAATTTAAAAATTCAAAGATTAAATTTGTGATATAAAAATTTTGGCACTTACAAATCTTGGGACTTCGGAATTTTTAGATTTTGGGACCTTTCCGACTTAGGAAGTTTGAGATATCAAATCTTAGAGATTTTGGGACTTAAGTATTTAGTAATATAGGGATTTTGGGACATTGGGACTTACGGACCTTAGAATTTTTGGACTTCTAAGTTTTTGAAGTTTAATACCATGAACTTTAAAATTTCTCAACTTCAAATTCAAAATGACTTTGGAACTTCGAAAATAAAAATTTTGAGACTTAAAAATTTTGTAATATAGGGATTTTCAAATCTGCGGATTCTGACATCTAGGGACTTTGGGACTTAAAAGTTTTGGAAATTAGAGATTTGGGACCTTAACAATTTTGGAACTTGGTAATGCCAAATTTTTGGGAACTCATTTATAATTTCTATTTTTTAAAAGCCAATCATTGAAAATGTTCCGTGATATTTGGATTTGAATTATGGATTTGATTCCCGATACGATATTGTAGTTAATTAAATGAAACTCGAGATTACTCAGATTGAATTAAGCGTATCACGATTTAATTATTGGGGTAGGTATTCATGCATCAAATTACGCGAACGTATGGACAGATTTCACTGGAATTTTAAAACTGCCTTTCATTAGCTGCATGCAGTGTCTATTACAGAATATTGTGTGCATTCATACATGCTTCTTATGCTATTAACGTGACAAATGTGAATTATAATATTTTTAAAATTAACCTCGTTATGTGTCGCGATTTGGGGGTTGACTGCGACAGTTATCGAGGCATACGTTTTTTTTTTTTTAGTAATTAACAGTTTTATTACAAAGCTTAACAAACTGTTAACATTTAACATTATTTCAGTTTGTGCTTTTGTCCTTTTACGTAAAAATAATGAATATAAAAATTATATTCTTACAAGAAATGTTACTTACAAACAATAAATAGAAAAATTTCTCTCACTTGAAAATAATAAACATAAAAATGATATTTTTACACAAAAATAAAAAATTTAAAATTGTATTCATACACAAAAACAATAAACATAGTTCTTATTTGAAAAGAATAAATCTAGAAATTAAATTTTAGAGAAAAATAGTAAATATGAAAATTAAATAGTTTGAATTTTAGTTTTGCTAAATGCATTTGACATTCAATATGTTATTACACATAAAAATAGTACATTTACATAAATTATAGTATATACAGGGTGTTTCAGTTAAAGCAACCTTCTCGTATATCGCCGAAATAATTCTCTATCTCAGAAAATACAAAAATTAATTCCATTTCGAACGAAACAAAAATAATTTCGATGCAGATAATTGGCTACTAACAATTTGTTCATTAGCGTGGACGTAAAGGTCATCTGTTTTTAATGGAACAATGCATTTTCGAACACACCAATTACGTCTCATCATTCCCCATAAAAATTTACTGACCCATATCGAGAAGCCGTATATTTAAGCGCTATTTTAATTTCACCATTTACAAATTTTCGTAAACGAATCGTAAAACAACCACGTACATTATGTCCGTGCAATGACATCCTTCTTAATTAGGTTTGTTTTCAGAGAATTAAAAAAAGAATTTTCATGAGAAATTCGAAAGATCTAATTTTAAAATATCTCCTAAACCAACAATTTTTCGATATAAACACATTACTAGTTTTTTACAGAGAATAAAAAATTAAATCGATGCGTGAATTCAAAAATATATGTCATCGTTAAGAAAATCAAGTTAACCTTTATATGACCTTTACGCGTCCACCTATGAAAAATTTATTAACGTCAAATTATGTGCTCATAAATACTGATTAATTTTTGTAGGAAACATTTTTTTGTGTCGCTAATAGTTTCGGAGATGCACGAAGAGGCTACTTGTTGTGAAACGCCCTGTATATTATATGGCATCGTAAATTTATGATGGCTAAAACGTGCAATAGAGAGGAGGATAATTATACCTGTGCGAATGCCGTACCAACTGCGCCAGTGGCAATTGCTAGAAGATTTCGTTGAACCCATTCCTCCCCAGCTTGAATACAACCTTTCTCATATATCACTTTGGCAACCTCAAAGTTCTGGAAAACAAAGGCGATTGGCTACTTTCGCTTACCGATTCTCCAGTCTTGCGATTATGGTTGTTAGTCCGACATTTGGCAGAAACTGTGTTAGATCCGATGAAAGAAATTGTGGTTAGTGGGAAATGTGATTTGGGGTCTTTTGTTAGGACTTTCTGAGCTTTAGAGTTGGTTAGGTTAGGTCAGGTTTGACCCTGAGTTATGGAAGGTGAAATATGTTTGACATGATTATTTGTAATTTTGAAAATTTAAAAAATTGGAAGTTTGATATTTTTTGGAGAATTTGAGAATTTGATAATTTGATAATTTGAAAATTTGTGAATTTGAGTCTTGAGAATCAAGAAATGAAAAATTCCTAAATTTCTAAATTTGAATCTTGAAGATCCAGAAATGAAAAATTCCTAAATTTCTAAATTTGAGTCTTGAAAATCCAAAAATTAAAAATTCCTGAATTTCTAAATTTGAGTCTTGAAGATCCAGAAATTAACAATTCCTAAATTTCTGAATTTGAGTCTTGAAGATCCAAAAATTAAAAATTCCTGAATTTCTGAATTTGAGTCCTGAAAATCCAAAAATTAAAAATTCCTGAATTTCTAAATTTGAATCTTGAAGATCCAGAAATTAACAATTCCTAAATTTCTAAATTTGAGTCTTGAAGATCCAAAAATTAAAAATTCCTGAATTTCTAAATTTGAGTCTTGAAGATCCAAAAATTAAAAATTCCTGAATTTCTAAATTTGAGTCTTGAAGATCCAAAAATTAAAAATTCCTAAAATTTTAAATTTGAGTCTTGAAGATCAAGAAATGAAAAATTCCTAAATTTCTAGATTTGAGTCTCGAAGATCCAGAAATGAAAAATTCCTAAAATTTTAAATTTGAGTCTTGAAGATCAAGAAATGAAAAATTCCTAAATTTCTAAATTTGAATCTTGAAGATCCAGAAATTAACAATTCCTAAATTTCTAAATTTGAGTCTTGAAGATCCAAAAATTAAAAATTCCTGAATTTCTAGTTTGAGTCTCGAAGACCCAGAAATGAAAAATTCCTAAATTTTTAAATTTGAGTCTTGAAAATCCAAAAATTAAAATTTCCTAAATTTCTAAATTTGAGTCTTGAAAATCCAAAAATTAAAATTTCCTATTTTTCTAAATTTGAGTCTCGAAGATCCAGAAATGAAAAATTCCTAAATTTCTAAATTTGAGTCTTGAAAATCCAAAACTAAGAAATTCTTCAATCTTTCCATCAAATTTTAATAATAAATGCATCCAACTACCTGAAAATCCATACAAAACCTAACTGAACCGAGCTATAAGGAAAAGTGCCATATAACGAGACTGCGTTCTACCAACGATTCTTCAGTCCCCATTGAAAATATTCGAAAAGTTCTTGTCGAAATCTGACACCCCAATAGACATATAGCACCTCAGACACTTTATTGGATAAATTTCACCGTGAGAAAACGGGTGTTAACGAGGTTAAATGCAATCTTCTGACACGCAGCGCCAAAGTCTCTAAGACTCGGGCTATAAATTAGCAGTTTGCAGCAGCTCTATCGGGCTCTAAATGAAAACTCTTAAGTAATTCGGGAATTCGCCGTTCTGCTAATGAGGAAACCGTGCAACATCATCAGAGTATCGCGATGGAAGTGGAATCCACGCGAAGAGAACCGGAATGGGTTGCGGGGTAGAAAGTTAGAGAGGGGCGGGGGTGGTGCAGGAACCGAGACGAAGGAGAGAACTGAAAGCTTTGCGTGGTTACTCGTACACTCGGCCGCAATATATGGCTTCCTTTGGATAACCGGGTCTACCAAACTTGACAATTTTTTGGAAATTTATTAACTCACGTATTATCAAGTTTTCGAATTTATGAACTTTTATGTTTATGCACTTTGAAGTTATCAAATTCTTAAATTTATAACCTTGTAGAATTTTGGGGTTTTAAGTTTGCAAGCACTTTGTATTTACAAGTTTTCAAATTTCAAATATTTAAATTCACAAATTTACAAATTTTCAAATTTCAAATATTTAAATTCACAAATTTACAAATTTTCAAATTTACCAGCCTTCAAATTTTTAAACCAATTTGAAAGTTTGCAAACTTTTAAATTATCAAATTTTCAAATTTACAAACTTTCAAATTATCAAATTGTCAAATTATTAAATAGTCAAATAGTCAAATAGTCAAATAGTCAAATAGTCAAATAGTCAAATAGTCAAATAGTCAAATAGTCAAATAGTCAAATAGTCAAATAGTCAAATAGTCAAATAGTCAAATAGTCAAATAGTCAAATAGTCAAATAGTCAAATAGTCAAATAGTCAAATAGTCAAATAGTCAAATAGTCAAATAGTCAAATAGTCAAATAGTCAAATAGTCAAATAGTCAAATAGTCAAATAGTCAAATAGTCAAATAGTCAAATAGTCAAATAGTCAAATAGTCAAATAGTCAAATAGTCAAATAGTCAAATAGTCAAATAGTCAAATAGTCAAATAGTCAAATAGTCAAATAGTCAAATAGTCAAATAGTCAAATAGTCAAATAGTCAAATAGTCAAATAGTCAAATAGTCAAATAGTCAAATAGTCAAATAGTCAAATAGTCAAATAGTCAAATAGTCAAATAGTCAAATAGTCAAATAGTCAAATAGTCAAATAGTCAAATAGTCAAATAGTCAAATAGTCAAATAGTCAAATAGTCAAATAGTCAAATAGTCAAATAGTCAAATAGTCAAATAGTCAAATAGTCAAATAGTCAAATAGTCAAATAGTCAAATAGTCAAATAGTCAAATAGTCAAATAGTCAAATAGTCAAATAGTCAAATAGTCAAATAGTCAAATAGTCAAATAGTCAAATAGTCAAATAGTCAAATAGTCAAATAGTCAAATAGTCAAATAGTCAAATAGTCAAATAGTCAAATAGTCAAATAGTCAAATAGTCAAATAGTCAAATAGTCAAATAGTCAAATAGTCAAATAGTCAAATAGTCAAATAGTCAAATAGTCAAATAGTCAAATAGTCAAATAGTCAAATAGTCAAATAGTCAAATAGTCAAATAGTCAAATAGTCAAATAGTCAAATAGTCAAATAGTCAAATAGTCAAATAGTCAAATAGTCAAATAGTCAAATAGTCAAATAGTCAAATAGTCAAATAGTCAAATAGTCAAATAGTCAAATAGTCAAATAGTCAAATAGTCAAATAGTCAAATAGTCAAATAGTCAAATAGTCAAATAGTCAAATAGTCAAATAGTCAAATAGTCAAATAGTCAAATAGTCAAATAGTCAAATAGTCAAATAGTCAAATAGTCAAATAGTCAAATAGTCAAATAGTCAAATAGTCAAATAGTCAAATAGTCAAATAGTCAAATAGTCAAATAGTCAAATAGGCATGTAAGTTTTTACAGAGGAAATTTCGTCACGTCCCATTTTCCAAAGAAGCGCACTTTACTGTACCGAAGAATTATACGGAGAATGTTTTGGAAAAGAAATCATGACAAAACATTCTTGGCTTCAAAGTCCTGGTAAAACGAAGTCGCATTTTTGCTCATTTTTTGAAACCAAATATCTATTGTCCTTGTCTTTCCTGACCGATACGTAAGATAAACAAGGATCGCTTACCAATTTTCCGCCCTAAAAATCCCCGAAAATAATACTCGGAGTATTTGGTCACCAGAATGGACCCTTAGTTATATCGGACATTGCCTGCTCAGTGATCCTACAGTAATATTCGCGACGTGTAATTCGAATTCCATGTTATTCGAGGGTCGTCGCAGTTTTTAACCTTGCTATTCGCAACCTCGTGCATTTCAAGTACCGTGTTATTCGAGGGATGTACGTCCTCCATCGACAGTGGCGGCTCGCAGCTAAAATTAGTGGGGATCCTCCAAAAAATGTTAGCCTCCCCTTTAAAATCGTGTAAAAGAAAACATACAACCGGAAAGTAATGTCTTTACATTAAATTCAAACAAGCTTTCAACAAGTTTTCATTTCCAATCAACGATGAACCTCGTTATAAGGTAATCACCCTCGTTATCAACAACCTTTTGCCATTTTGAATCGATAAAAATCAAGTGGTTTTTGAGCGATATAATTGGAGATATCATTTGAATATTGTTTTCACATTTTTTACTCAGAAAGTATCGCAGTTTGAAATAAATGAAAAACCACGTTTTACAAAGAATATTGTAAGATTTGTTTACCAATCTTAATCTTAAAATCTCTTTAAAGTAAACTGATCTGATAAATGACAAATATTGACACGCGCAAAAACGACATTACTTCCCTGATGTAACAAGAAAATGTATCGAGAAACTTGATAAAATCCTAAAAGAACAAAATCAAGCATTGTTTACGTTATCGATAAAGTCAAGAGAAAATAGGGGCTGCTGCAGCTTCAGTCTATATCGGCGCCGCCACTGTTTGTGAGTGATCGTGTTTGTTAACATGTTCAATTCTCGCAAGTACTTACTTGTTCCTTAAATCGAGAGACTTTTCCCGTACGTAGTTGTTTAATCACGGTCGTTTGTTTCGATTACGATACATTTAGGTTACAACAGCATGTACCATTAAATAAAAGAATGCTTCAAGCATATTAAACAGAGATACGTAAATAATACACATACTGGAAATAGATGTACATCCACTTTACGCTCGCATGCGGTATTGAGTACGATCGATTGCTTTCGATAACCCCTTAACGCATATGGTGGTGTATAAAGTAGTTTCCGTTTTGGGATTTAATATTTGAGTGTATTAAGGGAATTTTAGTGGATGTTTGATTTAGAAGGAATTGTAGAGACTCTTGTTATATTGCCATATTTTTGTGGGGATTCGTAGAAATTGCAATTTTTTGTAGTAGTTAGATTTTACAGTTATTTAGTTTTTTGGTTTGGTTATTTTAAATCTTTTAAACTTGTAATTTATTATTTACTTGGTTTTCTTATCACCCAATTTTCCAAATTTATAATTTTGCAGCTTTTCAATTTTCTAATTTTCTAATTTTCTAATTTCCTAATTTCCCGCTTTTCCCATTTTCCAATTCTTTAATTTCCCACCTTTCCCATTTTCCAATTCTTTAATTTTCCAACTTTACAATTTTCTAGTTCCCTAATTTTCTTAATTTCCCAATTTCCCAAATTCCCAATTTCCTAATTTCTCAATCTTTCAATTTCCCAATCTCCTAATTTCTCAATCTCTCAATCTCTCAATCTCTCAATTTCCCAATTCTCCACTTTTCCAATATTTCAATTTACCAATTTTCTAATATCCCAATTGCCTAATTTCCCTAACTTCCTAATTTCCCAATTTCCTAAATTCTCAATCTCTCAATTTCCCAATTTTCCACTTTCCCAATATTTCAATTTAGCAACTTTCTAATATCCCAATTTCCAAAATTTCCAAATGTTTATCTTCTTAATTTCCCAACGTCCTAATTTCCCAATTTCTTAATTTTCCAAATTCCCATTTACCCAATTTCTCAATTTTCCACCTCACCACTTCCCCACTTTCCTAATTTGCTAATTCCCTATTTTTCTAATTTCCTAACATTCTAAATTTTCAACTTTTCATGCGTAAATTTCGAAATTCTAAACTCCCATATTTGAAACAGTTTCACATGAGGAAATCTCACTGAACTCAATAAACTGCCAACATTACAAATTTTACATTCTTCTTCTTAACTCCTTCAGCGGCAGTATAACGAGAGTCTACAATTTCATCAAAACACACCCCTCAACAATTCCTATGTCACAAAATTTCATAATAAAAATAATTAAACATTCACTCCACCTCGATTTTAAAATATTATCAAATATTATCATATAAATTTTTGGAAATTATCAAACTCGAATAATTACTTATGCGTTCACTTCGTAAAAACTTGAAGTTTCAAAAGCAAACATTAATCAAATGTACGATAATATACACGTCATTGAATATCGCGATAAAATTAACTATGTAGCAGACCACTGCGTTAAAGGGTTAAAAATTCACCGTTTAGGGTAGTTGAAACTTTCTCGTAACACTTTTTCGCGTGCTAAATGGTGCTTTTTCCCCAGACGCTGTTGCAGACAACATAACTTGCGTCGCGTGCTTCGAAGCAAACTAATGTTCGCTGTTAAACTAGTTTGACATCGTTCGATCGTTCTACCGTACTCTTTCAACTTTTTTTTCTCCGTGTGAATGAAAATGATCGATCGAGGCGCTAAAAAGATTCATTATCTCTCGTTTTATCGCATTAATTTTAATAAGCCGTAACAACGTGAAGAAACATTTTATGGACTTCACTTTGGAACAGAAATCTGTTTCAGAATAAATTGTGTTTAAATGAGAAATGTTTTTTAATAAACAATATACAAGATGTACATATTATTATATATTGTATAAAATGATTTTAATATCAACATATTTATTAATAAACATTATGTAAGATGTACATATTATTATATATTATATAAAATGATTTTAATATTAACAAATTTATTAATAAACATTATGTAAGAAGTACATATTATTATATATTATATAAAATGATTTTAACATCAACAAATTTATTAATAAACATTATGTAAGATGTACATATTATTATATATTATATAAAATGATTTTAACATCAACAAATTTATTAATAAACATTATGTAAAATGTACATATTATATACACTGTATATGAAATGATTTTAACATCAACAAATTTATTAATAAACATTATGTAAAATGTACATATTATACAATATAAAATGATTTTAACGTTAACAAGTTTATTAATAAACAATATACAAGACGTATTAAGTACATTATACAAAATGTATTTCAGGTATGATCATTAGTAAACAATATATACAAAGTGCATATGTTATGTACAATACATAAAATATATCAATAAATGTGCGAACAACTTGTTCAATAAACAAACAATAAAACTTGTAATATTTTTGCTTCGTGAAGACAGTGATTTAAACTAAAAATAATTGTAATATCAGTATACTGCGTTTTGAGAGATTTGAATTTGGCGCCAGAAATGCGGCACCGTTTAATAGAAAATTTTTAATGGAATCATTAATTATGGACCACTAAAACAGTCTACTCACTTAAATTCTACTAAGTATCTCTTCAAAATATTATTGCAGACAATATTATCTCAGATAATATTACACCTCGATATTTTCCTGTTGTATAAATTCCTAATTACAAACCTCCTGCATTCAAGTATTTCCATATCCACAAATTCCGATTATTGAGATTATCTTGTAAGAAAAGAAAAGTGTATTTTTGATAAAAAGAAGTTTCAGAATATGAATTGCTCCGCCCTGGAGCCCCCAGCGCAGGAAATTATCGAGATATCGCTGAATTTGAGAATGTTTACAACACCAACGATTGAAGTAGTAATTACGGAGGTTAAGATCGATCAATGCCAAACAAATTTAACAAAAAAAGACACAGTGAAAGTTTAAACGTTCGATTAGTATTAAGGGCACATTTCAATAGGGATGTACCTGTAGAACCATAGTGCTGACAACGGTACCAGTGACAGGTACGAGATTCAATTCTAGCCACTCCTCGCCCGCCCTTAGACAACCTCTCTCGTATATACTCCTCTCTCCTGTCTGCATTCCCCGGGGATACAGAAACAGAAATGATTTAGAAAACCGGCGGGAAAGTTTTCACCTCGAAAGGTTTAGGATTACGTTGTCGTGCCTGCAGTGTGCCGATAACACCGGCAAACGGCGATAGTATGATTCACCGTCGGATATGTATGTATGTGTGAGCCAGGTAGAAACGATAGCTTTAACTTCTCCTTTTCGACCAAACTTTTTCGGTACTCGGTTCTTTATTACGGCTATAGCAGCGACGGGCATTAGGGCAATAAAGTGATACGTTGTAACCTAAATAAACCAGTATGAGACGAAGAAGTGGAGTGTAGGAGATATAGGGAAGGACTTGAGTTATAGTTTTCCAATTTTGCTGTAAAGTTTATAAATTCTTGATGTACCAATTGAACGTAGTAAATTTTGAATTTTCTGGTATTTTTCTGGATTTGTAATTTTTAGATTGACAAATTTTTTGGTTTTCGAATTTTTATGTTTTTAAATTTTCAACTTTGCTAATTTTCCAATTTCCTAATTTTCCCATTTTCCAATTTTTCAATTTTCTAACTTCCCAATTTCCCAATTTCCCAGTTTTACAATTTCTCAACTTCCTAATTTCCTAATTTTCCCAGTTCCCTATTTCCTTATTTCCCTATTGCCTAATTCCCCCTTTTTCTAATTCCCCTATTTCCTAATTTCCCCATCTCCTAATTCCCCATTTCCTAACACCCCCATTTCCTAATTTCCCCATTTCCTAATTCCCTCTTCACCTAATTTCCCCATTTCCTAATTCCCCCATTTCCTATTTCCCCATGTCCTAATTTCCCCATTACCTAATACTCCCATTTCTTTATTTCCCCATTTCCTAATTCCCCCATTTCCTAATTTCCCCATTTCCTAATTTCCCCGCTTCCTAATTTCCCTACTTCCTAATTTCTCCACTTCCTAATTTCCCACTTCGTATTTCCCAAATTTAAAAATTGCCAAGTTTTCCAATTTCAATAATTTCGAATTTTAAAATTGTTAACGTTACGCTAATATCACGAAATTACATTTCACACTGGTTTATTTGGGTTACAACTGTTAAACTCAAATAAAACGTTAAAAAATATTCATGCAACAAATAAACATAAAACAATGCAAATTACGGTAAATTAATCAGAGCCACAATTTCGACAAATCTATGTCAGTCCACTTCGTAATGATCTCTATAATTAAACAGTAACTAATTGTTCTGAATTCCCCTAATTTCTACGGTTAAAATGACGTGACCTACCAGTTGTGTCACGCAACAATTACTAAAAATTCATGTTAAAATTATCCTATTTATTCTAATAATTGTGTTTACTTCATTTGTTTTAATTCGTCTAAGTTATCTACATTGCAGTCTCGCTATATGGTCCTTCTAGAGGAAGCAAATTTGTAAATGGCCGTATAGGTAGCACATTGTTCATACAGCACTTTCTTGAAACATCTACTGTGCTAAATTAGTACATTTAAAATTTTTTAATCATTAAATTTGCAAATTTCGATTAAAAATTTGGGTAATTTGAGATTTTTAAATTGAAAATCACTGACCTTATAAATTTGAAAAATTTGGACACCTTAAATTTCTGAATGTGAAAATTTGATGTCCTATATAAGTTTGTTAATTTCAAAATTTGTAAATTTCAAAATTGTTTTTGTAAATTTGTCACTTTGGAAATTTGAAAAAATTGAAAATTTCATAATTTGAAAATTGTTAATTTCTCTCTGTGTAGTCACAATTAAGTACTACTAGATACCGAGTTTAAATCTCCGTAAAAAAGAACCGTTCAACAGACCATATCAAAAAGTGCCATATAGCGAGACTGCATCCACTAATTCACATAAAATAAAGACATTACTGAACTTTGCACGATCTCACTAGCGTTCCTTGATCAGCTTAATCTGTCAAGGTGCCTATTAATACGAGAAGATAAAAACGGCGATAAAAGAAGAGGTTAAACAGTAATGACTCGTTGATGAAAACGTAATTAGCGCAAACCGATTTGCCGACAAGGCTTTAAGGTCCTAAACTCGTTACCAGTGACGTACCTACTTCTGAAATAGTAAGGGAGGATCCTTTATCCCTTGGACTCGTTTTCTCTCTAATTAAGCTCCACAGTTTTTTTCAACCCGATCGTTTTTGCTGGCGGACTCGTTGTGTAATCAGACCAGCTGTACCTCCTACTGTTCTTCAAAGACAAAAATTATCCGCGTTCTTTTCTCGCTTTACTTTTGCTTTTATTCGCGGCGCGTCGTTCGAAAAAAATTAGCGAACGAATCCTACGGATGCGATAACGGGTGACTCGGAAAAAACAACGAGCTTTCGTAAAAAGGCATTAATGAACGAAAGAAATAAAAGACTATGCGAAGAAACAAATAAGAGTAGGTAAAAACGATAAAATAAGAGACTATGTGAAAACAGCGAATGAAATAAAAGACTATGTGAAAACAGCAGATGAAATAAAAGACTATGCGAAAAGAACAAATGAAATAAAAGACTATGAAAACGGTAAATGAAATAAAAGAATGGTGGAAGTAAAGGTATGGTTCCGGAAAGCGCAAACCTCCAATCGCGCTGAAATTATAACCAAAGCTCACTCTAGATTGGAGAGGAACCCTAAAAGGATTTTTGGCGACAAAGCCTCGTTTACTCTACAGGCCCTTTCAAAGTTTTTTACAGTTCTGACTAATTATCTTCGAAGATATTTATTTTAGAGAAAAAAGTTTTAAACAAAAAGTAAAGCTCGTCAAAAGCTCTATAAAAATGGTTATACACATTTTTGACATAAACCTATTAGTTTGGCTGATATGACCTTAAATAACTTGGTGAGGGTCAGAGTGACTTCTGTCCAGGGTCGAGTTATTCAAGGTCATAACAGCCAACCTAATAGGTTTATGTCAAAAATGTATATAACCTTCTTTATAGAACTATTCATAAACTTCATTTTTTATTTAAAACTTTCTTCTCTAAAGTCAATATTTCCGGAAATATTTAGTTAGAACTGCAAAGAACTTTGAAAGGGCCTATAGAGTAAACGAGACTGTCGCTGAAAATTTTGTTAGCAACTTCTTCTCCAAGTAAAACTGAGCTTCGAATTAAATTTCAGCGTGATCGGAGCTTTACGCTTTCGGTAGATAAGAAAATTGATCGGAAAAAAGCATGGTCTTAGTTTGTTAGTTTATGACTAAAGAACAGACACGAATGCAAAGATTTGCAAACACGACAAGTAGGGACTGAAATGTTTAGTTGTATAGGTGTATCAAAAGTAGCGTGTAACTAATTGTTTTACTACACTGTTACGCTATTTTTGAGTCACCCTGTAGTATAGAAAAATTACTTACGTAGCTGGGTTTCCGAACGTCATAACCGCACTGCTTGTTCTTAATGATTTCCTGAAAATGTTACGAGTGATGTTTTAATATTTCCGAAATGGACGATGTTTTGGTATTGATAAAATGTAGGATATTTAATATTTGTAAAATGGATGTTTTAATATTTATAAAATGCAGGTTGTTTTAATATTTGTAATATGGAAGACATTTTAATATTTGTAATATGACGGGTGTTTTAATGTTTGTCAAACGGCAAATATTTGAATATTTGTCAAATGGAAAATATTTGTAAAATGTTTTAATATTTATAAAATGAAGGATAATTTAATATTTGTACAATGATGTTTTAATATTTATGAAACGGAAGACATTTTAATGTTTGTAAAATGAAGGGTGATTTAATATTTTTAAAATGGGGGATGATATTTCAATAATGGTTGTATAGTCAGTGATAACGTTATAGTTACGTTTTATGCAATATAACGAAATGCTTCACAATATAATAGAATTTCAAATTTACTGCTCTCAAGTTTCCTATTAAGCAGTATATGTTTTATGCAATATAACGGAATGCTTCACAATATAATAGAATTTCGAATTTACTGCTCTCAAGTTTCCTATTAAGCAGTATATGTTTTATGCAATATAACGGAATGCTTCACAATATAATAGAATTTCGAATTTACTGCTCTCAAGTTTCCTATTAAGCAGTATATGTTTTATGCAATATAACGGAATGCTTCACAATATAATAGAATTTCGAATTTACTGCTCTCAAGTTTCCTATTAAGCAGTATATGTTTTATGCAATATAACGGAATGCTTCACAATATAATAGAATTTCGAATTTACTGCTCTCAAGTTTCCTATTAAGCAGTATATGTTTTATGCAATATAACGGAATGCTTCACAATATAATAGAATTTCGAATTTACTGCTCTCAAGTTTCCTATTAAGCAGTATATGTTTTATGCAATATAACGGAATGCTTCACAATATAATAGAATTTCGAATTTACTGCTCTCAAGTTTCCTATTAAGCAGTATATGTTTTATGCAATATAACGGAATGCTTCACAATATAATAGAATTTCGAATTTACTGCTCTCAAGTTTCCTATCAAGCAGTATAGTTTTATGCAATATAATGAAATTTACAATTTAACAAAGTTTCAATTTACGACCTCGCTATATCACTGACTATACGTATAACAAAAAGAAGTTAAAGAACTTTAAATAGGAAATTGAGTACTGCGATATAAAAGAGAGGAGAAAAATATAAAATGGAGATATAGAAATACAAAATGGAGAAATTACATTTGGCTTTCGTTTACAACAGCTAAAAGGCACGCCACACGCTTCCCTCGAGCCAATATCGCTCGACGAACAATTGAAATAATTATTGCGATCCCAGTCTTTAGGACCCTCGATGCCGCAACACTGCAACTGTAAAATCAACAAAAACATTTTCAGCCGGTGATTATCGAAATAAAATTAAACTTCAATAATTGCAGTTAAAAGAAAAATTAATATTGCTCTGATAATTCTATCATTTTGGTACAAAGGACTTTATTTTAATATAAAATTATGAATCTTATAAAGAATCTGCGTTGAAATTATTGATAATTTTGTGATAATTTCATGCTCATTTTAATGGGAGATTAAGGGAAAATTTATAATTAATTTGGAATTGTCGAAAATTTAATATGCTGCCCTTATAATTTCAATGCAAAATTATTGTTAAATTTATAATTAGTATGAAACCTGCATGATTTTAATACAAAATTGTTATCAAATTTATAATCAAGTTAAACATTGAACATTTTTGCAAATTTGAATGATAATTTTAATGAAATTTGAAAAATTATATAATATTGTTATAAATTATAGTCACATTAAAAAATGTTATGAACCTCATAATTACAATATAAAATTAAAAAAAAAAACATGTAATATTATTATTAATAATAATTATAAAAATTAATTAATAGTAATAATTATTATTATTAATATTATTATTTAAAAAATAAATATATGTCCAATTATAAAATCTGTCTCATAAAATGAATATTTACAAAAATTCTCAAAACTGTAAAATAATTGTAATTGTAAAATACACTGAAATTTCAGTACAGTGTACGAGTTTACAAAATTATTGCATGATGTCGAGGGAAAAAAGCACAAACCGCAATGGTACTCCAACGAGAGCGATAGATGCGTATGAATTCCAAACGCGATCATAAATAATTTCATAACCGCTGCATCGAGACAGCGCAATATTAAATATGCGATTTTATAGTGGGAAAAGGTGAAGTGGTTTGCGAGAACGGAACAAAGGGTCACTGGAGACGATGTGCAGAGACGAAGTCAAAAGGAATCTCACGATGAGAATCGAACGAGGCCGATATTAAAAATAAAAATTAAAAGAAAACAAAGGGGAAGAATAAAAGAATCGGAGCTAAGATATTTCTGATCCGCAATGAAGTTTTGTGATTTTCATTAAATTTCAATATCTGGGCTTCGTATTGCGTATATAGTAGACTCTCGTTATATTGCTGCTCGTTTGAGCAGCGTCCCAAGTAATGGGACGTTTCGAAATTGGCAATATAGAGAGAGATTTTTTTATAGAGTGCAACTTTGAGTTTATTCATTTGAAATCTTAGGATTCTGTTAAATTTCAATATATGTGTACTGTGGTATGTATACAGTGACCTCTCGTTATATTGCCGCTGCTAGAGGTGGAGTAATGGGACGTTGCGAAATTGGTAATATATGGAGAGATTTTGTTATACAGTGATTGATGAGTGCAATTTTGAATTTATTTATTTGTAATCTTAGCATTTTGTTAAATTTCAATATATGTACACCGTACTATATATACAATTGACTCTCGTTATATTGCCGCTGGTAGAGGTCGAGTAATGGTAAGATGTGAGATTGACAATATAAGGAGAGAATTTGTTATGCAGTGATTGATGAAAGCTTTTGTGAATTTATTTATTTGGAATTTTGGAAATCTGCAAGTTTTTAAATTTGCAAGACTGCGAAATTGAAATATGAGAGTTTTTCAGTTTGTGAATAAAGAAATTTCAAAAGGTTCTATATTTAAGAATTTTTAAACTTTTCGGTTTGCAAATTTGATGACATAAAAGAGTCAAAAATTATAAATCTGAAAAGAAAAATTGAGGAATTGAAGTATTGGGGAATGGAAGAATGGAGGAATAGAGGGATTGAGGAATTGAAGAATTGCGGAATTGAGGAATTGAGGAATTGAGGAATTGAGGAATTGAGAAATTGGGAAATTGGGAAATTGGGAAATTGGAAGATTGGGAGATTGGAAGATTGGGAAATTGGAAGATTGGGAAATTAGGAAATTGGGAAATGGGGAAATTGGGGAATAGAAGTATTGAAAAATTGAAAAATTGAAAAATTGAAAAATCGAAAAATTGAAAAATTGAAAAATTGAAAAATTGAAAAATTGAAAAATTGAAAAATTGAAAAATTGAAAAATTGAAAAATTGAAGAATTGAAGAATTGAAGAACTAAAAAATTGAAAACTTGAAGAATTGAAAATTTGAAAATTTGGAAGATGAAAAAATGATGGAATCTTGAGATCTCCAAATTCGAAAATAAAAAGTTCTCTACAATTTTCCCTCACTTCCATCACAAATTCCATAAATACGAAAATTCCCATAAAAATGGCAATATAGCAAGAGTCTAGATCCCCCATACCAAATTCACCTGCACTGTTGTTAATAGCCAACAGATAAACTCGTCGATACAATCCAACTTGACAGAAACTTGCAACAGGAATTTATACACTAATCCCCCAATATTGTGCAAAATGACTATCATTGAAGCGTCAGCTGTGCGATATTCCTCGCAAGCCACAGATTTCCAAAATAACTAACAATTCCCATGAACTCTGATTGCATATCCCGGCAAGTACACAGAACTGTTTGGAGAAAGGCATCGTGTACCAAACAAAGCAGTAATCGATACGTTGTTCCCTCTCGCAGCACAAAGTCGAAGTACTAAGCATTTCATTAACCATCTATAAATGAAAGCAAGCGGTTCCCGAGGGTTTGGCCAATGTACAGTGTAGAGAGATGCTGGTGCAACTGCACTGATAGGATTGCCGGAATTGCGGCTGCATACCGGCGTTTCCATTGAAATCTCGTAAACCACAATTGATTGGCAAACCATCGATTAACGATTTCTACGGAGGCACCGCTAGTTGAGTACAGTAGAAAGCTATTCAACGTTTGTCACTGCTCGGCGAATAATGAAATCCTGATGAACTTTTAAAACGTTAACGGTTAAATCACGTTGGAAATCGCAACGACGAAACGTCGTTGGAAAACAATATCGGTTTAGATTCAATTTTGATAACTGATATGGATAATAATTCTGTACGTACCCAATCTTCTTGGATCCAGTCGATCAGGTTCTGTTGATCGGGATCCTCTCTGTAGTGGATGATGAACGCTTGGAAACCACCAGTGGCTTGTGACTTTATCTGTGTCGTGCAGGATTAAATATTATTTCGATTTCTTTATATTGCAGTTATACTGGATGGTCCACCTGAGGGGATTAAAATTGAAATGTAGAAGGTAATTTGATGAAAACGGCGATATAGTGCGAGGTTTATTGACGGATGTGCCGACAAGTTTCGTAGGGCAAGAGGTAATATGTGCAAAATGACGATATAGTGTGAGGTAACCTGAATGTTGAAACAGTTGATCCTTCTGGGAGAAATAGTGATGTACGAGAAACGGCGATATAGAGGAGGGTAACGTAGAACTGATGAAATGATTATTGTTTTAGAGCAAATGGCGATATAGTGAAAAATAATATAGGAAAATTGTTGAAATGGACTATTTTTCTAAGGCACACGATAATATAGAAGAAACGGCAATATAGTGAAAAGTAACTTAGGAGAACTGTGAAACTGGACGATTTTTATAGAAAGAATGGTCATATAGTAGAAGGTAACTTGGGACAATTGAAATGGACAATTTTTGTAAGGAGTACAATAATATAGGAAAAACGGCGATATAACAGAGGGTTTCCAAGAAAAAATAGTGATATGGCAAATTTTTTAGAGTAACTAGTGATGTAGGGGAAATTGTGGTATAATGGAAGATTGTCAAATAAGGACAGTGATATAGATCTCCATTAAGTAAATGGTGATATAAAGGAAGGATACCCTAGGGAAAATGCACGTTAGAAGTCCATCTAGGGAAAATGTCAACTTAAGGAAATTCCGTATAGAAAATAATAACGTGGTTTTGAAACTTCTTTAGGGAAAATGACAATATGAGAGACCTTCCAATGGAAAATGGCAATATAAGAAGAGAATTTCCTAAGAATAATGGCAACATCTGCAAAGTCGTTTTATGGTAAAATATTAATATTAGAGAAGGTTTCCCTAGCGAAAATGGCAATATGAGAGAAGATTTCCTTAGCAAAAGTGGCAATATGAGAAGAGAATTTCCCAAGAATAATGGTAACATGTGCAAAGACTTTCTACGGTAAAATATTAATATCAGAGAAGATTTCCCTAGAAAAAATGGCAATATGAGAGAAGATCTCCATAGCAAAAATGGCAATATAAGAAGAGATTTTCCCAGAAATAACGCTATGTGAGCGGAAACTTTCTATTATAAAATAATGATATTACAGAAGACTTCCTTAGCAAAAATGGCAGTATACCAAAAGATTCTCCTAAAGAAAATGGCAATACACCAAAAGATTCTCCTAAAAAAATTGGCAATATACCAAGAGATTCTCCTAAAGAAAATGACAATATGTAATGAAGTTCACGTAGAAAAAGTAACAATATAAAAGAATTGTTCTTCAAGAAAATTCCAATATGAATGTTTCACTAAAAAATACTTGAATTGTACGCATCCCCTTATATCGCCATTTAAGAGATAAAAGTCGAACATGAAGTGTCCGTTGATTAATCCGCGTAACGCGTTATTCGTGTACTTCGCGATAATAAAAGCGTTTAGGGGAAATAACGGGTCCGACAGCGAGGTACTGTATTTTATAAGTGGAAACGTTTTCTTCCCAATGGCTGACAAAACGAGGGAAATTTATAACAATACCGAAGGACCGTCGCGGCATAAATATAAAGCTTGTTTGCACTGGTAACTCGGTGGCGGCGCTTGTCGTTGCAGCAGAGCTATTAAACTTGCTAACCCGGAGCCATTTCAAACTGAGAACAAGAAATTATTCTCATATCCAGAGTCTCCAACTCTGGCAGACATTTTCATTTCGAGAGTGATGCGACGTGCTTTACGCACGGCAAATAAGGGAACGAATTAAACGCTTCCTGTACCTCCTGTTTGTCCTTTAATTTATTCCCGAGGTCTGAGAGCTCATTAAATTTATTCTTTACGAATGGACGATGCGGGACAAAGGGACATTCCACGTAAATGCCTCCTCTTTGCATTCGAACAAATTGCAATTGAAACCCGCTACTGTTTCCTACCTTGGCCAAATTAATTACGAAATTTATTCTCTACGCACCAAAATAGTCATCGCGAATATTGCATACTTCTTGATTGCTTATTAACCCTTTGCACGGAGATATTTTTATCAACGAAACTTTCTGATTGCAAAAATTCGACGAATTCTTTTTGCAGTTATTTTTTTGGTAGTCGACATATTGTTTCACTGTGTTTATTGCAGATTTGGTTGGAAAGTTGTGTTGAACGAATATTACGTTTTGAGAGTGAAGGGTTTGAAAGTTTGAACAATTATTTTGGTACTTTCGGTGGAGACTGTGATGATTATATGTTTTATAATTCAGGAACATTTTTTGAATACCTGCTGCTGTTAGAAAAAGAATCTTCCATTTTTATTTTTATTGAAATTTTTTACTGCTGCATTTATTGTCGAATGTCTTCTTGTGAACTGTAAGATAGTGGTAGTAGAGGTAACTCAGCAATTATTTTCTTAAAATTTATTATTTATTGTCGAATGTCTTCTTGTGAGCTGTAAGACAGTGGCATTAGAGATAATTCAGCAATTATTTTCTGGACATTTATTATTTATCGTCGAATGCCTTCTTGTGAGCTGTAAGACAGTGCCAGTACAAATAATTCAGTAATTATTATCTTAACAATTATTATTTATTGTCGAATGTCTTCTTGTAAGCTATAAGACAGTGCCAGTACAAATAATTCAGTAATTATTTTCTTAAAATTTATTATTTATTGTCGAATGTCTTCTTGTGAGCCATAACACAGTAGTAACAGAAATATTTTAGTAGTTTAAAAGAGATTTTAGTGATTTTTATATGTTTTTATAATTTTGAAATTAAAGGGACAATTAAAAGTAAAAATTGTAGTGGACCACCCAGTATATTCAACAATTTACATGAATTTGTTTAAATTATAACAAATTTCTAAGAGAGCTTACCCAGTCCTTGAAGACAAAGCCTAGCACACCGGCCGCCATTTCCATTAATAGCAGTAGCGCCAGGAATATTGCATACTGTAATGATTTTATGCAAAAGAACATTTTAATTTATTTGTATACAAAAAATAAATAATTAATATAATTTGTGCAATTTAAAACCTTGCGTAAAATTATATAAACTAAAATAAAACGTTATTGTAATTAGGTAGAATGACAGCTGTACATCTCTCTATGACAGACTCTCGTTATATTGCCAAAATTTGTGTTCATCGTTCAGTAAACAAATTTTCGAATTTAGGATCTTAGAAATTTTTAAATTTCCAAATTTGAGGGTTTGAGAATAAAAAACTTGAAATTTTCATGTTCAAAGTTCCAGATTTTTAATTTTTAATTTAGAATTTAGGTTTCAGACTAATTTAAAATAATTAAAGATAATTTAAGCTAATTTAAAATAATTTAAGATGAATTAGGATAATTTAGAATTTCAAATTCAAAGTTTCTTAATTTGTCATAATTCTCAAGACCCAAATTTTCAAATTCTCTACATATATTGCAGATTTTCAAAATCCATCCCTATCACTCCATATATTGCAATATAACGAGCTGCTGTAAGTGTAACGATAAACACATTTAACCTCACAACCGTCAGAAAATAATTCAGATGTATCGCATGAATTACTCACGAAGTCGAGTATCAATGAAAGTTTAACATTTCGGTGAAGTAATTGGATTATTGAATATATCTATGAAAATTTGATCTGTTAAGTACTTACCGCAGCTAGGAGGCACGTATTTTCCCTGAGTGCACCGACACACCCGGTAAATCCGATGATAAATGTCACTGTACCTGCAATAAAACAAGGAGAAACGTGATTCGAACGGAAGTACTCCATTTTCTCGATCGAAAACAGAAGGTGTAAGATGTTACAGAAGATGTATTGCGCCATCTGTCCGAGAACCGATACGACAAGATTAATTATAAATGAAACAGGCAACAATTTACCTCATTTTTCATCCTTATATACGAAATAAATCCTTTGATAATTGATACCGAAATTGGAAGTAATGAATTGTTACAAAATTGTTTATATATATTTAAACAAACTACTAAACTATTTAACAAAAAAAAATATTAAAATATTAATACAACAGAATTATTATCAAAATTAGTACAGTTTACACATGTTTGTACATTTTTTAATATCTTAAACCGAACTTTTAAATATTGTTAGCAAAACTTAAGTAAAATATTGATTATTTGGAAAATTATTGAAAAATTTTTATGCAATAGAAATATTATTAAAATGAGTGCTTTTTGTGTTCAATTTTAATTTCAAAGATACAAAATAATTAATCAAAATCAAAGAAAGAAAATATCGTTTTTTAATTGAGTCAAAATGTTGCAGTATAGAAGACTCTCGTTATATTGCCATAATGAGTGAAGTAGTTAGTAGACTTACAATTCACACCAACATCTCCAAATTATTAGTAGCTGGCAATATTTCATAAATGAATATTGCTTATGAATAAAGTAAGCAGTTGCTGTGTTGCTTTAAAGAAGACCGATGAAATATAGTCCTCTTATAGCGGTGTAACAATATGATATATAGCGTATGCATCCACAATGAATCGAATTCGCGACAAAAACTTTGCAACGTCGAAATTACTTTACGGTTAGGGTAATAAAACTGCATAAAAATGCAGAGAGATCGTTTGATCTCGATATGCGATGTGAGAATATGAAGGCAACTCAAACACCAATATTCTGTGAGTTTGATCGACTAGGTAAAGTGAGAGGCCGAAGGGGATGACGTATAAGGGGATATCTGAACTTAGGTTTCAACTAGGAATTACTACATGTGAAATTTGTAATATGGATTACTTTGAAGAACTTGGAAATTAGGAAATTAGGGGAATAGGAAAACAGGAAATTAGCAAGTTAGGAAAGTGGGAATTTAAGGGAATAGGAAAATAGGATATTAGTAAATTAGGAAAGTAAGAAGCTGGGGAATTAAGAGATTAAGAAATGTGGAAAATAGGAAATTATGGAACTAGGGAATTAAGTAATAAGGAAATTAGGAAATTAAGAAATTTCGCCATTACGAAATTAAGGAATTGGGGAATTAGGGAATTAGGGAATTAGGGAATTAGGGAATTAGGGAATTAGGGAATTAGGGAATTAATAGATTAGTAAATCAGTGGATTGGAGAATCAGTAGAGTAGGAAATTAGTCGATTAGAAAGTTAGGAATTAAGAAGGGAGTAAGGAATTAGGGAATTAGGGAATTAATAGATTAGTAAATCAGTGGATTGGAGAATCAGTAGAGTAGGAAATTAGTCGATTAGAAAGTTAGGAATTAAGAAATTTAGGAATTTAGAAATTTTGGGGAATTTCAAAATTGGAATATTATTGTAGAATATTGTAATATTGGAATAGTGAAATATTAGAATATTGGGAAATTAAGAAATTGGGAAATAGGGACATGGGGAAACTGGAATATGTGGAAATTAGGAAATTGGAAAATTTAGAAATAGGGATAATGGGAAATTAGGAAATTGAGAAATTAGAAAATTAGAAAATTAGAAAATTAGAAAATTAGAAAATTAGGAAATTGGAAAATTAAGAAATTGGAACATTGGGAAATTGTAAAGTTAGTAAATTGGGAAATAGGAACATTGGGAAATTGGGAAATTGGGAAATTGGGAAATTGGGAAATTAGGAAATTAGGAAATTAGGAAATTAGGAAATCTAGAAATTGAGATGTTGGGAATTTGGAAAATTTAGAAATAGGGAAGTTAGGAAATTGAAAAATTCAAAATTTGGGAAATGAGAAGTTAGAAGATTTGATACTTGGTAAGTGAGGAAATTTGAAAGTTGCAAATTAGGAAATATTAAAACTTAAACGTGCATAATACCTACGTACAAAATACCTCTAAACAAAATGAAAAAATCAATAAAAATCACGAAGCAACTACTTGCAATCAAGAAATTGAAAATATTTGTATTTCGCAAACACAGAAAGAACAAACGTTGTACATCCCGTGGTACCAGTGAAAATCTGCTTTCCTCTAGGGTCAAAGGTCCGAAACAAACATCGCGTGAAATGAATTGCCTTCCTGTCGGTAAGACGAGTCAAACGAAAACGTGGTTATCCGCAGATCGAACCTCGAAAAGCCGACCCTTTCCGGCAGAGAGTCGTTCTTTTGGCAGCTAAGGGTCGGATCACGTGCAAATTCGATTTGATCGCAGTACGCTTTCATGCGAACGGCACCCTGTGGCTGAATGTTTGAATTGGTCTCAGGACATTCCTGAGTTTCCACCCTTACGTTCAACCAAACCGTGGTTGACCGCTCGCTAGAGCGGCTTTCTGTGGTATAGTCCTTGTAATCCCTCTGTACATCTCCCCTAATCCAACTTACGGCGTGCTTTGCACAGTTTCGAACCGCCATCTTGTCAGTTATACTTAACAGCTGTACCGTGAATGGATCAAGCGTGATGGAACGTGATAGGAAATGCATTAAGACGATACACGAATGTTTCGCCATTTTATGTTACATGGACGTAGACCATTAAAATATTATTTATTCACGGCGTTTATTTGTTTATTTATTTATTTAGTTGTTAATTTGTTTATTTACTTTGTTCTTTATTTACCTATTTATTTATTTAATTTTTCACTTATTTATTTATTTGACAAACTCTTCCTTAAATACATGTTTGGTGTTTTGAATTTTGTCTGAAAACTTTTAATTTGTTTCAACAATTTTCACTAGAAAAAGTCTTTAAATTATTTAGTTTTTATAACAAGGTTGATTTAAAAGAATATCTGCGCATAATATTTAATTTGTGAGAAAATTTATTTTGTTACTTTATTGTGACAAGTCAGAGTATTTTGAATTTTACCGCCATTTGCTGTCGATATTGTTTAATAATCACGTCGATGTCAATGTTACCCTAAATAATTATGTTAGTACCATTATAAGACTAAATTGTTGCATTAATATTATTATTACACTAAATAATTACACTAATATTAATTTTCCTACAAATAGATTAAATTTGGCGCCATGTGAGATTCTATCAGTCTTAGATTAAAATGGCGGAATATTTTTCAATCATTAATTGAATTCTTTACTAATATTTAGTATTAATATTGTTGAATAATCATATTAACATTAATATCATTGTAAATAATTATATAAATACTAATACTTCATATTAATATTAATATGAATGCAAACAGATTTGAATTTTGCCGCCATCTGAGGTCACCCGACTTAGATCAAAATGGCGGAGCATTTCTCTACAATTAACTGAATTCAACACTAGTATTGTTATATTAGTAGCATAAATATTGTTTAATAACCACAATAACATCAATATTATTGTAAATAATTATATAAATTCTAAAATCACACGAAATAATTACATTAATATTAACATCAGTACAAACAAATTTGAATTTTACCGCCAACTCAACGACTTAAATCAATGGCGGAATTTTTTAATCCTAAAATTGAATTCACTGCTAATAATATTATTTACATAAATGTTTACAAAATGTTCAAATGTTAAATATTTAAAAAATTATATAAATGTTGATATTACTGCTAATGTTGATATTTTTGTGGTACACCCAGTATATCTTCGAACACGTGGCGAAAGATTTCTTTATGACGTAAAATGAAAAAAGGGCTAACACGAGTTGTTACTTACCGACTAGAATGAGAATAAATGCTGGGTCGAGGGCGACGTTTGTGAGGCGGGATAAATTATTAAACGTATCCTTTTCGGTCCATGCCCAGACACCCACCGCCATGATGCCCAAACCCAGCCACTGAAACAAAAACAGTAGAAGATGAGCTTAGAATTGAACTAACATAAACATACTTAATATAATATTTTGTGATAACTATGTTATAAAGTATATTGTTTAGTTATGCAGAACATTTTCCTTAGAATTTTGTTAGACAAAATATTTTCATTACTGATATCGTTATGGAAATGTCGGAGATGACTTATTCAATTACAAGGACAAATATTATTGCAAATAACAAGTATTTTCAAGGTCATATTCTTTTGAGATTTCTAGTTATATTGTATGAGAGTGAGATTGAAAAGTAAAAGTGAAAAATTGAAAAATAAGAGTGGAACGTTGAAAAATATTGACAAATTGTTAATTCCAAATTTGTAGGTTATGTTTATATACACTGAAGGGGAACAAATATATGTCAAAGGAAGACATTTTAAAATATTGACAAATTGTTAATTTTAAATTTGTAGATTATTAATATTTATACGTGTGTTCAAGTATGTGTACAAGTTTAAATATTTACAAATTGCACAATTGTAGAACACAGACACTTTAATTCCAAATTTATAGGTTATGTTTGTATTTATATAAGCGTTCAATAAATGTACAGTAAATTTGTCAATATGCGAAACATGTAAATTATTGACAAATTAACATCAAATATGTTACTGTTTGTATTTACACACGTGTTTAACAAATATGTGCAAAAGAACAACATTGTAAAATATTAAAAAATTTGTAGGTTATAGTTTTTGTATAAAATTTACATTTATCAATGAAAATTTAGTAGATCTTGAACTTATTCGACTAGTTTTAATAATTATTTCTGTTTTCATGTCATAATTTTGTTTTACGAATTTACAAATTGGTTCTCATAAAATAAATACGTCAATATTTAATAATATTTATTATTATCACCTATTATCAAATATTGATAATATTTCTCAACAATTAATTTTGACTTACAAAAATATTAAAAATTTTTCAATAATTTCTACGTGTACAAATTTTCAAAATATTATAAAAACAAATTTTTCTATAACTTGATTAATTTATTATTGGACTTACAAGTTATAATAACTTGATAATAATATAATAACCTATAAAAATAAATGATAATATAATAACATATAGTTACAAATAATTATATAATAACCTATAATGATAAATAATAAAATAATAACCTATAATAATAAATAACAATATAATAACCTATAATAATAAATAATAATAATATAACTTATAATAATAAATTATAAAAGAATAACATACAATTATAGTAAAAATAATAACTTATAATTAATTAATAATTGATTTGATAACCAACTTAACTTGCATGTGAAATATTACACAAACCCTTATTTATTAAAAAAAATATTTCACCCCAAAAAAATAACTATCCCTAAAAATTAAATACATCGTAAATTCTAGAAATTTTTATGAAATCAAATTTGATATAATTTTATACAAATTGCACTGCAAATGTAATTTTCTTGACTTCCAAAAACAGATTCTTCCTACTTCGTTTATTTATTTATTTATTCGAAAAAAATTTCCGCGTATCATGTGATTTTTCCAATATCCCCTTTATTGATAGTAAGTTATGTTTAAGCATTTTTGGTTTTTGCACTCTTACTTCGGTTAGTAATCAATACACCGTCCGCATGCGTCTAGACGTGTTTACTCTATTCGGCGCTGTTACGATGCACCGAGAGTTTCATTCTGCTCGATTGATGCAAAAAACGTTTGCATTAGCTCAATTAGTATGCACTTAGTATGAGGGACACTGGCGTGAAAGTGAAGAGGGTATGGAATACTGAAAGTGATTGCCTTTGCGTTTCGTTTCAATTACTAATTTCACGCAGTGCCGTAAGGTCAATGGCGAATTTTGTTTCCTTTGGTAAATGTCGAATTTCGATGTTTTTTAGATTTTCTGACAGTTTAGGGATATTGTACATATGGATATTATAGAATTTGAGGAATCGAGCGTCCTCGAAAGAGGAAATTTAGAAATTTAGGAATTTGGGAAGTGGCGAATTTGAGAATTGGAAAATTTAGGGATTGTAGGACTTATAAACTTGAGAAATTTCAGAAATTTTAGAAGTTTAAGAAATTTGAAAGATTTTAGGAATTTTAGAAATTTTTGGAATTTTTGAAGTTTCAGAAATTTGAGAGATTTTAGAAATTTTAGGAATTTTAGAAGTTTCAGAAATTTGAGAAATTTGAGAAATTTTAGAAACTTGAAAAATTAGGGACTTAAGCATTTAGGAAATTTGAAAAATTATGAAATTAGGAAATTAGGAAACTGGGAATTAGGGAATTGGGAAATTAAAATATGGAGGAAATTAGGAAAGGGGGAAATTAGGTAATGGGGAAATTAATAAATGGGAAAATTAGGAAATTAGAGAATGGGGGGAAATTAGGAAATGGGGAAATTAGCAAATGGGCAAATTAAAAAGTGGGCAAATTAGGAAATGGGGAAATTAGGAAATGGGGAAATTAGGAAATGGGGAAATTAGGAAATGGGGAAATTAGGAAATGGGGAAATTAGGAAATGGGGAAATTAGGAAATGGGGAAATTAGGAAATGGGGAAATTAGGAAATGGGGAAATTAGGAAATGGGGAAATTAGGAAATGGGGAAATTAGGAAATGGGGAAATTAGGAAATGGGGAAATTAGGAAATGGGGAAATTAGGAAATGGGGAAATTAGGAAATGGGGAAATTAGGAAATGGGGAAATTAGGAAATGGGGAAATTAGGAAATGGGGAAATTAGGAAATGGGGAAATTAGGAAATGGGGAAATTAGGAAATGGGGAAATTAGGAAATGGGGAAATTAGGAAATGGGGAAATTAGGAAATGGGAAATTAGGAAATGTGGAAATTAGGATATTGGGAAATTAGAGAATGGGGGAATTAGCAAATGGGGAAATTAGGAAATTGGGAAATTAGAGAATGGGGTAATTAGCAAATGGGGAAATTAGGAAATGGAACAATTTAGTAAATGAGAAAAATAAGAAATGGGAAATTAGCAAACGCGGAAATTAGGATTTCGAAATTTAAGAAGTTGGAAAATTCGAAATTTAAGAATTGAAAAAATATGAAAATTTGAAGATTTATGAACTACAAATTTAAAAATGCTGGTACCCGGAAATTAGGAAGATTGACATCATATTTTATTCTGAACATCACTTATAATCTCCACAACCTATAATCTTCAATTCTGTAGTTTAAATAAATCATGATATTGCTGCTACCAGAATCATAGATAGCACAAAATATCTCATTAATGTTGACATATCAATTAGGTGGTATCCATTATTGGTCCCTGATTTTCAATAATAAACAAGATATCATTAGCTCAACATCATTTAATAACTAAAAACATTGAATTAAACTAATATGATTAAATATGTACAATCATTCTGCAGTATATACTAATTATACTGCATATTAACACATTAATTACTGCGTAATCAGCGATAACCAGAACCACTAATTAAATTTAATAAAAACATATTTAAACTGGTAATATATTTATGGGTTACTCTATTAGTACCTATTTTATTTTTAAACAGAAATAGATAAATATTTTTGAAAGTTAAAATATTATTTACATATATTTTTTATTAAAATTGATTATACCAATATATTATAATGAATTCATATATTAACTTAAAATTGATATTTCAATTTTATAAATTGATATCATACAGTGGAGTCGAATAAACTAATTCAAACATCTTATGTCTCAATAAAAAAAAACAAGGACTTATTACTTTATTCTACTATGTACAAAATAACAAGTATTTTATACCAAAAATGCCATGAAACTAAAAACATAATTACGCTGGTACTCCTCTATTACAAAGTTCAACATCTCTATCCGAGACTGCATAAAAAAATATCAATATTTGAACGAACCATAGCAATTATCGCGAAACGTGTATGCGCATGTACAGGTTATGTTCTACACGATTCTCCCATTTTGTTTTCCATAAAACTGAAAAGCAACATTTTGTGTAACTATCACCTCTTTCACGCCGTCCCTTAAGGGTAAACTCTGGTAACTCTACTATAATTTTTAGCTACTCTGAAAAATTAATAAGCGACGAACTTTGTGTATTTTATTTTGTATTAGTTAGGAGAGACAAGGATAGTAGATATTTGCTTTTGAAAAATGTGCAAAAATGCGACTTTGTTCTTTTGAAAAATGTGCAATAATGCGACTTTGTTTTGCCATGATTTTGAAACCAAGAAATCCTGTCATCTCTTTTTCAAAATATTCTTCGTATAATTCTCCGATGCGGAAAAGCACCCGATTTTTACCCTCAAAACTTCACGAGAAGGAAGCATGTAAGTTTTTACAGAGGAAATTTCGTCACGTCCCAACATGTAAGTTTTTACAGAGGAAGCTTTGTCGCGTCCCATTTTCCAAAGAAGCGCACTTTACTGCACCGAAGAATTATACGAAGAATGTTTTGGAAAAGAAATCATGACAAAACATTCTTGGCTTCAAAGTCCTGGTAAAACGAAGTCGCATTTTTGCTCATTTTTTGAAACCAAATATCTATTGTCCTTGTCTTTCCTGACCGATACGTAAGATAAACAAGGATCGCTTACCAATTTTCCGCCCTAAAAATCCCCGAAAATAATACTCGGAGTATTTGGTCACCAGAATGGACCCTTAGTTATATCGGACATTGCCTGCTCAGTGATCCTACAGTAATATTCGCGACGTGTAATTCGAATTCCATGTTATTCGAGGGTCGTCGCAGTTTTTAACCTTGCTATTCGCAACCTCGTGCATTTCAAGTACCGTGTTATTCGAGGGATGTACGTCCTCCATCGACAGTGGCGGCTCGCAGCTAAAATTAGTGGGGATCCTCCAAAAAATGTTAGCCTCCCCTTTAAAATCGTGTAAAAGAAAACATACAACCGGAAAGTAATGTCTTTACATTAAATTCAAACAAGCTTTTAACAAGTTTCTATTTCCAATCAATGATGAACCTCGTTATAAGGTAAT